TGTAAGTCACTTGTCACAAGTGTGGTGTATATGTGTATGTCTTACAAATAACGTTCTATTCTGTGGCTTTTTCACTCATGGTTTTTTTGATGAACAGATGTTATTAATATTGTCTAATTTATAAATCCTTTTCTTTATGGTTAGTACTTTGTGTCCTGTTTAAGAAATCTTTGCCTATCCTAAAGTGATAAAAATATTTTCCGCTGGGCATGGTGGCTCTGCCTATAATCCCAGCACTTTGGGAGGCCAAGGCGGGTGGATCACAAGGTCAAGAGATCAAGACCATCCTGGCCAATGTGGTGAAACCCCGTCAAAACTAAAAATACAAAAAATTAGCTGGGTGTAGTGGTGTGCACCTGTAATCCCTACTACTCGGGAGACTGAGGCTGGAGAATCACTTGAACCCAGGAGGTGGAGGTTGCAGTAAGCTCAGATCATACCACTGCACTCCAACCTGGTGACAGAACGAGACTCTGTCTCAAAAAAAAAAAAAAAAAAAAAAAAAAAAAAAAAAAAAAAAAAAAAAAAAAAAAGTGCTAAAATGGTAGCTCTCTAAGTATTTTTACCACAATAAAATGCAAAGCAAACAAAACCCCTGGCCCTTCATACACTGTGTGGGCAGCTCTGCACTGCAGTGCCTGCTGCACAGCCGGGCTGTTCCCTCGTAGTATCTGTGTGCTGAGTTCGGTGTCTCATGCACCTGATGGACTTAGAATTGCTGTGTGGCATTTGCCTTTGGTACTCATGGTGGTTAAACAGCAAGTGCCTTGCCCCTCCATCAGGCTGCTGAGGACCCAGCAGGTGGAGGCGCCCTGCTACTCCCATCTCCAGCTATCCTTGGCTGGAACCCTCGCAGAGGGAGACCAGCAGATGGTGAAAGAAGTGTCAGAGTGAGAGACAGGAAGAATGTGTTCTGGGGTTTAGAGTGGAATTGTCAGTAACACACAAGGCTAAGTGCTTGCATATATTCCCAAAGGAGGTGGGTGGGCCAGTGTCAGCAGAGGGAATGCAGAATGAGAAGGCCCATCAGCAGGAGAGGCTGCCTAAGGGCCTGGGTGCATCCAGGGCTGCTTCAGGACTGAGCTAGGCGAATGGAGAGAATGGTGAGTTACAGTGCCCAGATCCATGTGGGCTCTCCCCGAATCCTTCAGACAAGGAAGGCCAGAGGAAAGTAGGAAGGGCAGGAGAGGGTGTGGGGGAAGCAAGGCAAGAAGCCAAAAGATTTTGAACCATATGTTGTCCCTAAGTCCTTCTGGGTTTCACATTTTGTTACAAAGGCTGTAATAAACCCTGCCCCCACTGCAGTGTGCTTCATTAAAACAACTGTATAGCTAAAGTAATGGAGTAGAAGAAACAGATGTAATTTATTTATTTATTTTTATGTGTATTTATTTTTTGAGACGGCATTTCACTCTTGTTGCCCAGGCCGGAGTGCAGTGGCATGATCTCAGCTTATTGCAATCTCTGCCTTCCAGGTTCAAGCGATTCTCCTGCTTCAGCCTCTTGAGTAGCTGGGATTACAGGCACCCTCCACCATGCCTGGCTAATTTTTGTATTTATAGTAGAGACAGGGTTTCACTATGTTGGCCAGGCTCATCTTGAACTCATGGAAAGGAAGTTCTGGCCCAGTAACTTGGTCTTTACCTTATCACGGGGTGGTCTAACCCCCTGTGGTACTCATTCCAGGGCATAAAATCAGCACCTGTTTATTTTACTGGGATTTTTTTTTCTTTCTTTTTGGGACAGAGCCACCTCTGTCATCCAGGCTGGAGGTCAATTGCATGATCTCAGTTCACTGCAACCTCCACCTCCCGAGTTCAAGTGATTCTCCTGCCTCAGCCTCCCGAGTAGTTGGTATTACAAGCACCTGCCATCATGCCTAGCTAATTTTTGTATTTTTGTAGACATGAGGTTTCACCATCATAGCCAGGCTGGCCTTGAACTCATGACCTCAGGTGATCCACCTGCCTCGGCCTCCGAGAGTGCTCGGATTATTTCACTGGGACTTTAAGCTCCTGTCATTTAATGTGGAGGGCATTTCAAAGGCAAAGGGCATTTACAAATCTGTTGTATTTGGGCAAAAAATGTTTTAATTAGAACATCAAAGTTTGAGCGCTAACAGCCATTGTTCACAATTGGAGCCCCAAATCTCAGGCTCTATGGCATGTGAATTCTTGGATCTTCACAACTGTCCGGCAAGTAGTAGGTGAGATTGCCTGTTGCCGTTCTATAGATGAGATTTGAAAGCCTGTCAGGGACATCAATTAACTTGAGGTGAGGCTAATATTCAGACCACCCAGGTCTATTGAGCTTCAAAGCCTGTGCTGTCCTTTAACTGTAAGCAGGAAATATTCAAGGAGCCAGATCACCTGGGAATCCCACGCCAAAGACAGCACCTCACCTACTGCTGGAAGCACTGGCACCCGGGCCTGTGTGGACCTGCCCGTTGGTCTACAGGCTTGCTCTAGGTGCTAGTGTAGGTTGCTAGAACATTTTGTGCTTACAGGTGACTGGTAACAGTAGAGACAAATACAACTCTGTAAATGAAAATGGTTTTGTAAACCGAGGAAGTTACGTAAGAGTCACTGTATACAGCTGCAGTTTTTTTAAGACACAAAAATGTATGTGCTTACAAGTTAAGTCCTTTTGAAAATGTATTTTTAGTTACCACTCTATGTTCAAAAACTGATCTTTTGCACTTCTGATATTTTTAACATGAAAGTGTAAAGTAAGGTGAATGAGGTTTGCATTATTAAGGCAAAAGCCAGAGTCTTGACAGAAACATGACAGTAAGACAAAATTTCACAGATGCAAAGGTTTAACTTTTTGGAATCTATTTTAAAATGTGTCTTTGAATTAGAATCCATTCAAACAAAACAGGGCAGTGTAGTGAAGGAATCTAATTCGAATGTTCTCAGCAACAGACTCATGCCGTGCATGCGTCATCACAGAGAGCAGAATAGGGGCTGTTATGCCATGGCCCAGGCTGGGTGGGCCTCTGGAAGGTTCCGAGGGATTCTTTCGAGCATGCCTTTCTGACTGTCCCCCCGGGGGATGGGGGAGAGAGAGGCCAGGTGGATTCTACTCAGATGTCGACACTTCTGTTTTCAAAACGAATGTCTAAAATAAGTGGGTGAAAGAAAGCCAGGATTGCTTAACTTCAGAAATTGGAGGGGTTTGGGAACAGTCAGGTGGCACTGAAGTACAACGGAGAACTCCCCAAATTCGCCACCTTTGAGCATTAACGAGGCCCAGGGCATGGTGATGTTCCCCCCGCCCCCCACACAGGGCATAGGAGAGAGGGCGGCCAGGTGTATTCCTCTTCCCCATGCCCGGGGGGATTGTGAAGGAGGGGTTCAGACAGCAATGGCGTGGACACTGGACATGTGCACTTGCCCTCTCTCCTTGCCGTCATCCCCTCCACCCTCGCCCGTTCTCTCTGTCGCTTGGTCCGCGCTGTCCCAGACATATCTCAGCACGGTGCTTCTTGGCTCCCACACTTCAACTCCAGCCAGAGAGGGTGGTTCCTTTGTGCACCAGTAGCTTCCAAGCACTTCCAAGCCTTTGTTTTTCTGTCTCAGGTCTTTCGCAGAAGCCATCTGAGCTTGCTCAGTCTGCAGCCAGGGTGTCTGGGAAGATGATCCTGTAAGAGCACTCCTCAACCGTGGGGACTGTTTTCCGCAGATAGGTGTCCCAGCCTCCTGTCCTTCAGAGGCGCAGCCTGCGTGGTTTCTCCGTGTGGCTGAGCCCCTTCGCCAGTAGAGGGAACCAGCTCAGCGTGCACCTTTTGTTGTCTTCTCTCCGTTCTCATTTGCCTGTTTCCTCGGCTAACAGCTCTCACATCCTTGGCTCTGAGACAGCTTCCAAAGTGACAGCTGGTACAGCCTCACAGGGACAGTGGGGCAGAGAGGAGTCCTGTGTCTCCGTTGTGACGAAAAAGCCCCAAGGTTTACTGGATTTGCTGCTTATGGTCTGCAAAACGGGATCCCACGCCTGGATTCCCCTCATTCCTTCTGTGCAGAGCTGTCTCCAAGAACTAAGTTTGTGCTAGTGTTAGCAAGTTTGGGGGTTATCTTTAATATTTCTATAATTGTCTGCTAAATTAAGAGATGACAGAATTGATTCCAGAGTATGGTGTGGTTTATTAGTGACTACTTGCCATTTTCCAGGAAAGAAAGTTTCTTATTGCTCTCTTCCTTCTTATAGCTCTCTTCGAATCCCCCTTTAAAAATAATCAAGAATTTAATTCAGAATATAAAATGGGTGTACCATTAGAATTTGGGGCCCATATCGTTTTGAATGGTGTTTTCAAAATTTCAGTTTCCATTTGTTCATCACAAGTACATACAAATGCAAAAAATAAATTGTGTATGCTGCCACCATGCTAAATCCACTTTAGTAGTTTGGTAGGTTGTGTGGGGTTTTGTGCACACATAGTCATCATCTGTGAACCCATATACGTATTTAGAGCATAGAGATAATACTATTCTAGTCTCTTGGTATAGGAAATTTAGAGCCTTTCTGTTGTTACATTATGACTAGAGACCTCCAATGCCAAGGAATTTAAAACACACACTCAGGGCATCAGTTCCACTGTTGAATAGCTGTCATTGTTAGGAATCTTGTTCATATTTTGGACTGAGCATTTCAGTTCTGTGTGACAGGCACCCAAAGACTTTGAGGCATCTAGAAAGTCCTCCTGGAGTGAGCAGTTTCCCTGAGGACTCCTTGCGTGAGGGGACCTGACAACCATCTGAATGCCCTGTGTAGAACCCAGTATTGGGAAAAGAATCATGATCAGACCAGAATTGCTTCTAGTAGAATATGAAGTAGTGATTTTGAAAAGTCAGAGTGACGACAGCTGAATGGTAAGTTTAGCTAGGGAGCCATAAGAAGGGTTTCTTTGCGACAGGTCTTAAAATACATGGCATTTCCCCCCATGCATGTGCTTTGTTGCTGAAAGATAAAGAAAAAAACAAAACAGAAACCCAAGGGACAAATGTATGCCACTGATTATTTTTAATGATTTTGTGCTATGGTTTGACCACAGCATTAAGAACAAGCAGAAAAATCTGATTTCATAACTAACGAACAGCACTTAGAGCAACATCGTTCTTTAAAAGTATTGCAATTACAGACCTTAGGTCTAAGAACTACATCACCATTGCTCGGGTAAAAGAGGCAGATACATGACAGGTGGAAATCTTTTTCTGTATAGAACTGGGAATTATGTTGAAAAGTAAGCACAAATGTTTGTTAAAAAAGACTTTAATGACTTGTATCATAGCTCACAACCAACTATTGAAAAGTTCAAATACAGTTGTACTTTTTAGTAGATTGCTTTATAATAAAAATTAAATGAACTAAATGCTGTGAATAGTATTGTACATATTTTAAAACAGCTTTAAACTAGACAAGTATACAATTAGAAAACGTGATTTATGAAAGCTATAAAATGAAAAATAGCAACATACCAACAAGCACATTAAAATGAACCAGTATAATTAACAGTAAAGTTTAAGCCTCAATTCGTTCTGTAGAAAGGAAGCAATGATGTGGTAACAAATTTTTGCACCTCTGAGTCTAGAACATTCTCATGCTCAACAGTTCTTGCACAGGGTTGAACCTGGGGTGTGGGAGCTTTGTTTTTGACAGTAACGAGCTTCAGTTCTTAATGTGGAATCACAAGGGGTGCAGTACATGATGGAACCAACACATGGGTCTAGACACGCGGGATCCACAACACATACGAGTGTCAACTTTTCACGGCCCTTTTAAACAAACACTAAAAGGGCTGCCTTTTAATCCATTCAGCCTTAAGAGTTGCATTGTACAGTCCATTTCAGTTTAAGGATAATCGGTCATTTGTTTCCTGGATGTTAGGGGTATGATTCCATTGTGATTTTCAAAGTCAGAACATATACCATGGAGCAAATAGAAACTTTGGAATTTATTGGACTATCCTCTGGTGGCAGAATAAGCTGATGATATGGATCAGATGGGCCAAATTCCATGGACTGCCCTTACGGATAACACTCAAAAGGATACCCACACCCAAGATTCAACCACGGTTTTAATGAACACGGTGTTATAAACTTTTTTGTTCTTTTTTTAAAAAAATTAGGGCATTTGAAGATAATGCAAAGGTCATAATCAGACACTAAAAACTAAACTGGAAGAGAGATGTAACAATATACAATTCAAAACGTAATTTCTAACTGATGGCAAAACCAAGCTTGCTTTTTGGGTCAGGATTATGATGGGACAGGAATGGGAATGGATGAGAGCTTCGCTTGGCTGGCTGACAGCCAAGCCTCTTCTAGTGCTAACCCATAACTAAACCCTTTTTCCAAGAACAGGGCCTCCTTGGAATTGGATTTGTTTTTCCTGAGGTATTCTTTCCCTACAATCTCTACTGTTACTTCATTGGCTCCACAGCTTCAGTTTGTAAAAGAAAAAGGCACAGAGAGACTTGGACACAGACGGGAACAGATGCCTCTGGAGCTGAACGAAGTCCTCTGCTGCAGGCTGATTTACTTCCTCTGACACAGTTTCTGCAATATTAACAACAAAAATGTGCACTTTTCACTGAGGCCTGACACCTTCGTGATGCTACAGCAGGAGACAGATGCAGGAGATTATAAAGCAAGTTGAAAAATCAACATTTTTCTGACTCAAATATAACTAACACTGGTCCAGCTGAGCATTATTAAAATGATTAAATAAGAAGCGTCTAGTGGCAACCAAAAAGCTGTTGGATTTTTTTTAAAAAGTATTTTCTTTAAAGTGTTTTCACAGCAAAGATGCAACTTTCCATTGCTATGTATACGCTGGTCATAAACTGTTGCTTGTTCACACTTCTTTCTCTTGTGTTATAATATTGATATTTAATAGGAAAATAAACTACATAGACTTTAATCTGTATGCATCCATTTGCAAATTTCCTTACAAAAGAGGACAAAGCACATAGGCATTCACAAATTCTATGCCATTTCTGTTAAAATTGATATCATCTATACATTATATTACAGTATTAACAACTTTTTGTTCTACCCATTGGGTAGGATATGTGCATAATATATTCAACTTATATACAGCACCTTACAAATAAAAACATAAGAAAAGACAGACAACTGAAAAAGCACCATTTTAAGTGAGGCACAACAAAGGTGGGAGCATCAAGTGCAGGAGGGGCGGCTTGGTTCCTATGTCTGCTGAACTCAACATGAGGCACCTTTAGTTGCTGAAAACTGACATGCAGATCTCTGACATGATGGGGGATATATAGATATAATGTGCACGGATAGTGTCTATATACTCTCTATAGCTCTAACCCTCTCCCGCATTACACAAAAACAAGGACACACAGAAGGAAGAAAGAAAAGGATGAAGGAAGGTCCTGCTTTCTTAGTAAGACATTCCTACACTCAGACAGCAGCTTCCTAATGCACCCAGTTCGGGAAGCAGCAGCAGCAGCAGCAGCAGCAGCAAATGACTGTCCCTGGCAATAACATGAACTCTGCAAAGGACATAGCATGCTGAGTATTAAAGAATGCTGAAATCTTGGTTCCTAAAAAACAAAGACCATGGCAAGGCTAAGAGTGCTTCCCATTGCTTGTTCACATCTCTGTGATCTGTGGAGGTGCTGGCAGCTGGTGGTGGTGGAACTGGTGAAAGATAAGCCACGCAGCTGCTGAGAACTAGCATTTAGGATCTCGGCTGAAAGCAACATATCTTAATTTGTGACTTTCCTCACACCAAGAAGGGGAGCTTCTCCTCTTACACCTGTCATTCAATTGTTCTTTTACCTCGGTAGGCCAAGCACACGGCGTTCGAGGTCGGTGTGAGCAGGAGAGCGAGGGGCAAGGCTGTGGGGCGTGTTCGTGGCGTGAAGGCTTGGCTCCAAGCACTGGCTTTAATCACTTAGGCAAGAAATGCAAAAGTTAACTGAAACGAGGTAAATTTCCCAGTTTTTTTTCCTCTCATATACTGCTGAGCTTTGGAAATTAAAAAAAAAAAATTGTTTAAACAAAAATTAAAACACAAAGTTAATGCTGTCATTCTAAGTAGCAAAATTCAATAAGCGAACAGTGCAGCAACCCCCCCCCCCATCACCCAACACCGAGAGGGGGCGCATCCAGTTGGGGCTGCTTGGGGGGCCAGGCTCCCTGTGCCCACAGCAGAACGTCTGTGAGCCTACAAGTGACTGACACCACGAGGCCATCCTTTGAGGGAGGGCCCAGGGCTGGGTGCTGTGTGTCTCTGTGCTAGCAACCAGTATCTGGCCTGAGGACATATTTGAAGCACTCTGCATCAGAGCCTTCCAAAAAAGAGCCACTAGATGGAAGATAGAGAATGGCCCCTGTCGGAGATAGGAACTGTTGGTTCAGAGAGGAAGGCAGGGATTTAGATGGATTCTTCTAGGTCAGAAAAGCTTTCTAAAAGTGTTTCCTTTTGAGCCTTTCTCTTTCTTATGAAGATGAAATAAAGGTGAAGAAAATCAAATGGAGACTGGTAGAAGTCCAAGAAGTCCTCGCCTGGGTGCGAAATTCCTCTGCTAGTGTCAGGAGGCCGCCCCCATTTACTGTTGGCCCCTATTTCCTATTTCCTGTCTCATAAGTTAGAGTGAATGGAAATGCAGTCCTCATGATAAATCTTTTAAAAATTCTCTGCTCTCTTGGGATTTCTTGTGGCTTGGGTGTGTGTCGATGTGTTTATGTGTTGGGAAGGTGAAGACATGCTTGTCAAGCTTCTGTATTAGTAAATTTTGGACACCAAAAATAGATCAACTATTGAAATACCTAATTTGTTTCACGAAATCTCTTCTTCATTAAGGATTGCTTCAGTATTTAAAAAGAATGCTAGAGTTTCTGAAAAAGCAAATATATGCTGGAAGACTGTGTTCTTACAGTAGGCTTCAAGGTGCCTTGGCTCTCCTATACCTGCAACAAGGGACTTTTAAAAGTCAGCAGTATGCCCAGGAGTGTTCGTTCCCACCAATTGTTCTTCCTAACAATGCAATGCTTTGCTGCTACACTTTGCTGGAATAATCTGAGATTATAAACCTATCATTGATTGCCTCAATCACTGGTTACTAAACTGGACCCATGGGTTCCATAAGCTAAAAAAAGAATTCTTGAAAGAACAACAGGCCCCACTGTGTCAGCTGCATCTTCACAATCTCCACTCATTCAATACCACGCTAGCCATGAGGTGACATGGTATGAACAAGTCAGCCACAAACTTCAAAAGAGCTACTCATGTAAATCACCTTTTCCTTGTGCTGAAGGGAAATGGACTATTAATTCATGTCTGACCTTGGCTTTTAAACTAATTCACTACATAGTCCCAGCCTTGAAAACCTTTCAAAGTCATGGTTTGATATGTATTTGTCTTTATTTAACAAAGGCAATTCTCTAGGGTGGCGAATGGGACGAGCCTCTTTCTTGAAAAATGATTAAAGGTATCTGAATTACATAATTATCTTGCCAATACTGTGGACATATGCAAAACATTCATATACTTGTGTTGCTAAGGAATTCACAAGTCTCTGCTCTGAGCTCCTTCTTGAGGCAGGTAGAGAAGTAAGGACCCTGAAGCCATTTGAGAGCTAGGGCTGTGGGGCGCGTCCCCTGCTTCACCAAAACTGCGGGCAAGAACTGGAATGATGGAATCACCTTCTCACCTCCTGCACCTGACCAAGAATCCACTGCAAGTCCCTGCCCGCAGGGCCCAACGGGCAAACGGGCTCCTCGTCTTTCCCTGACAGAGGAAGAGAGGCTAATCCGGGGAGCCAGTGAAACTTCAGGGCATCTCCAGGGTTGGGGAAGGTCCTCTCTGGCCCCGAACTCTGCCCTGAGAGCTGGTTTCTCTCCTGCAGAGGCCTTCCAAGTGTCACTAGAACGACTGAATCCAGTCTCGGAAGCTCCACTGTGGCCCTCAACTGAATATACTTCCACACAGGGTTGTAGACATGAGCTGACAACTGGTGCCCGTGCTTTTTCTCTCTGCATTTAAGAGTTGGACTAGTTCTGTGGATGTTACTGTGTGGAATGGATGAATGTAATGGAAATTCCAATCCTCAAAACAAACAAAAACCAGCGACCTACCTACAGAGATGGGGAACAGACCGGGATCAAACAGGACTTGGGGTTTGGAACAGTCTCTCCAGTTATAGCACAGAGCCACCACACTGAGGGATCACCTCCGAGACCCACAGACAGACACAAACACACACACGCGGATTTGGCTTTAAAGCTGCATAGATCGGAGTCATGGAATCATCATTCCAGCTCATCTTGTATGTGCAGAGGCCGCAGAGGCCCACCCTCCACATGGCAGACCATTCTGCAGATAAGCCCTTCTCCACGCGCAGTGTCTGCTAAACTTGTTGGCTGCTGCTCTTATAAAAGCCAGTGCTTACGTCTGCAGAAGAAAGTTATTTTTTTAATTGTACATAAGAATGAATGTTTATAAATGTCAAGAGTATTAAAACTAATGGTATTTAAAATCAGTTTTCTAGTTGCATTTTAACTGTATGTTGTGCTTTTTACCCTGTGCTCTTACGTCACTTGCCCCCTCCACTGTTCTCTGACCGTCCAGGCCATGCCTTCAGTACAAAGGCTGGCCTGGAGAAGGGATTGGTAGAATCCTGCAGGAGTTCGGGTAGGTTTTGAGCACTGCATTCCTCTAAGAATGCTATGCTAATACTAGTGACATACAATGGCTTATTAGGATCAGCAACACGGCATTCTTCCGTCATTTCTAGGGGCTTCCAAAGCATATGAAACCACCACCCGCACCACTCCTGCAGGAAGTTCTGGGTAGGCTGGATGTGGGGTGGCTGTTGGGAGCCTCCTGTGATCTGAGCAGCCCTGCAGAACTGAACTGAGCTGTCGAGGAAAGGGGAGAGGCAATGGGGATATACTGAGGAGTCACATATTTCAACAGTATGCAGAATAACCACCTTGCATTTTCAACAATTTATTGCATAAAATAAGGTATATATTTGAATATAGTTCATGCTATAGTGAAAAATATCTAAATTACTGAAGAAATTGCACTGCTGAAGGATGAGGGCAGTACTGCATGATACTGGATCCATAAACACATGTGTTCATTTTCTCATAAAATATGCAGCCTAAGATTAGCAGAGTAACTCAAATAACAAGTCAGAAATGCTGGAACTTAATCTTCCCTATCTTCCATCCAAAAGTCTCCAAAAGCTTCAGCGATGCACTGCTATTTGATGCAAACTCCTGCAACAATAATGACTTTTTTGATTTATGCAAGTTGGTAAAATATTAGGCTACATTCCCAAATATCTGTTCTTAGATGATTCTGGGGACCACTCCAGGATATTCCTTGGGCCTGATGACAATCCACAGGTGAAAAGACAACATACAGAACTTCACGTAAAACAGTTCCCTCGTATATATTTTCCACATTAAGATAGTGCAACTTTGAACACACATCGTCACAACACAAAGGAGCTCCTTGCATTCATCCAACTCTTCCACTTTATGCCTTGGCACACAAAACAGGAATTTTGATTCATACTTTTTAAGCAAAATAAAAGTTCCACACCTTAGGAGAAAAAGCAAACTGGCTGGTTCTTCCCCACAATAATATATAATAATCCTTCCTTCTTCATTCAGTTAATTATAAAGCAGGCCATTCTGGCCTCATTTATCTGCAGTCTCCTTTCAGAATTAAATAAACCAAATACCTCTGTGGGTTTTATTTCATGATATCTTCAAAGCATCCCTTTCTCTGTTTTCCCCTGCCCACACCCCCATCCCAACCCCTGTCCCCAAATAAACACTGTTTGCAGTCAGACCAGGTGGAAGTTTGTATCATTTCAGTCTAGTTTGCATGCAATTCCCCTAAAAGGAATCAGAAACAAAGACCATGTTTGCTCATTTGGTTTTACTTATTTGTACCACGTAAAACTGAACAACACTGTGCGCAGGAGGGGCCCAGCGGCCGCTTTCCTCCTTGGTTTCTTTCTCCAGCTGAAGTGAAGGTGGAGGAAATCAGACCAGGTTCCCAGGCTTCCTATCTTTGCCTTTGATGGGTACTATTGTGCTCTCTGCATTGTTCTGCTGAAACTGCAGTCTGCTGCCCCTGTGTGCATTGCTGCGCTGGTGATGCAGGAAAGAGGCACCTGGGTGGTGGCCCATCACCTCGCTGTATGTGGGGGGCGGCCCCTCCATCCTCCCGTTGCTGCTGCAGGTGGATGCACTGATGCCCGAGTTGCTGCTCGGTGGGCACGGGCCCCCACTATACATAGCAATGTCTATCAAATCACTGTCAAATATGGTTCGGTTGGGTGGGGCCCTCACGGACTCTCGGTTGAGTTCCATCTGCTGTTCAGGGTCCCGGAGCTGCAGGGTGCAGGGCCCCTGGTAAGGAGGTGGCTCTTCACCATCGGACAAGGAGATAGTGGGAGGAAGATCAATCTCGTGCTGCACATAGGGGTAGGTGGGCTGGAAGCGGCTGAAGCGATCCCTCTGGATGAAGGACGGAGCTGTGAACCTGTCCCTGGACCGCGGGGCATGCATGATCTGGAAGGAAAAGAGAGGCTTGAAGACGGTTTGGGCGCAATGATGACCGTAAATGTAACAGAATCAAGGACAGTCACGCTTGGTCTGTGTTCCTACCACTTTGAACACCATCTCCCAGAGAAAGCAGGAAAATCCAATTCCAGAAAAAAGCTTACTTTTCCGATTCCTTATGTTCCTTATGACAGACCACTCACCTTGCCAAAAATCCCAGCGCATCCAGGAGGGCTGAGCAATGGAGAGCTGTGGGTAATTGAAAGCTTAGGCTCCTGGGAGTTACTGTGCGTGCTACGTGTGCATTTTCCAAGGGTTCAAACAGAACACACTAGGAACTCCAAGAGTCACAGAGTGAAAAGCACTGCGGCCAGGCCTCGGATCCGGTCATCAGCGACCCCTCCCAGGCCTTGGCTTTTCTACAACTTATGAGGACAGGACAGGGCTGCCTGCTTTCTCAGGTCCCTGCCAGCTCTAGAACCTAGAACCTATGATTCAGAAAAGTAACGAGGGGCTCTGAGTTTTTATTTATTTTTTTAAGCTTAATTTTTTTTTTTTTTTTTTTTTTTTTTTTTTTTTTTTGAGACAGGGTCTGGCTCTGTCACCTTGGTTGGAGTGCAGTGTCGCCATCTTGGCTTACGGCAGCCTCAACCTTTTGGAATCAAGCCATTCTCCCACCTCAGCATCCTGAGTAGCTGGGACAACCGGTGCATGCCACCATGACTGACTAATTTTTTTTTTTTTTAAAGAGAGATGGGGTTTTGTCATGTTTCCCAGGCTTGTCTCAAACTACTGAGCTTAAGTGACTGACTCACCTCAGCTTCCTAAAGTGCTGGGATTACAGGCATGAGCTACCATTGGCCAGGACTCCAAGTAAGCGGAAGTTATAACTTCACACCATGATATGCGGAGCAGATACAAAGCATTGGGTCGATTTATTCATTACTTAAAGATTATTGCCCTACCAATTACTTTTTTAAACAAATCCCCCCAAAATGACTGCTTTTCTTTTTTTAAAATTTTTATTAAAAAAATATCTTTTTTTTGAGACAGAGTCTTACTCTGTTGCCCAGGCTGGAGTGCAATGGTGCCATCTCAGCTCACTACAATCTTCGCCCCCTCCCCTCACCGGGTTCACGTGATTTCCCTGCCTCAGTCTCCTAAGAATCTGGGATTACAGGCACCTGCCACTGTGTCCAGCTAATTTTTGCAATTTTAAGTTTTGCATTTTTGCATTCACCATCTTGGCCAGGCTGGTCTTGAACTTCTGACCTGGTGATCCATTCACCTGCCTCGGCCTTTCAAAGTGCTATGATTACAGACAAGAGCCACCATGCCCAGCCAATGACTGTTTTTTCTTTCTGGCTCCTGGACTTTTCCAGTTATTTGTAATCTGAATAAAGGTTTCCTGTAGTTATTTTTAGTCACTGACATGAAAAATGTTTTGTACTCAAGTAGATATGATTATAGTAATTTCTTTTTCCAAAATTAACCCAGGTAGTACATTTCTTACAATATCTTCTCATTTGTTCCATCCCAGTTTCTTCTAGGAGACAACTCTTTTATATACATATATATACACACATGCATATATGCATAGATGTATATGTGTGTCCATATGTGTATATACATGAATTTAATATACACACATATCTACACACATACATAGAGATATTGATTTCTCGCACATCATTATTTTTAACTTGAAGGCAAAAAAATGTTATTTTAAAATCTACATTATTACACTTGGAGATGTGGGAATGAATCACACTATGATATTTATAAACTATGCCCACACTTGCCAAGGCACATTAGTAGAAGCTTATGGAATCATGTAAAGATCAGTGATTCACAAATTGTTTTTGGTAAGGAGCTTTGGACTAGAACGAATAATCCTTGGAAGATTCTAGGAAAAATCCCCTCCTGTTTTTGACCAAAGTTTCAGGCAATGCCAAAAGTATCAGCCCACGTAGTAATGCCCCTGCCCCTTCCACCCCACTTGCCAGGGACATGCCCCCTCACTCCCCACCCCAGCCCGCACCTCCTGGGGCCCCTTACCTCCGAGGCGCCCGGCCGAGGTACGGGGCTGTCTGAAGGCCACAGGCACCCTTCCTGGCGGAGGGGAAGGGGAGGAGAGTGGGGAACAAGAAACAGAGGAAAATCATTAGCCCTGCAGCATCTAAAAACATGAACCACAACTTCTGGGGGGATCTGCTCAAAACTTGGAACAAGAAAGAGCCGGTCCCTTTTCAGACCTCATGTCTACATGGAGGGCTGTGAACAAAAAGAAACATGGAAAAGTTGACCTCCTGGCCAGATGAGTTAGTGGGATATGGCTCACTCTCTACACCTGTGTGCTTGAAATACATTCAAGATGATGGTCCAAAAGCATTCAGTGGCCACTGGACGCGGGCAGGCTGGGTTGAGGAAGCCCTGACGGAAGCGGCCTCCCGCCGGCGCCCTGCAGCCTCCCGCAAAGGCGCACCGCTGCGCTCGCAGGTGGACGCCCCTTCCCAAGCCCGAGTGCCCTTCCGCGCCCTACAGCGAGTGTCACCTCCAGTCCGCTTATTCACAGGGCAGCTGCAACTTCACATCTGGGGGCTTAGTATCTTTTTTCAAAAACGTCTGGCCAGATTGACAAGGCGACAGGCCAGCCACAGGCCTCACGAAAGGTTCTTTCCAAGGCCGCAGGCGTGCTGGAAAAAAAGGTACGCGCGGTACCTTTTTCAGCCCGGAGTGTGGCTGCCTGCAGGGTCCGCGGGGCGGGCTGTCGGCCGTCTTGGGAGAACTGGAACTCAGTGGGGAGGAGCCCGCGTTTGGGGTACTCTTGGAAACGGGCGGGCTGGGCAATCACTGAGCCTCCGAGGGCCCCAGCGCCAGTAGCGAGGGGCGGCGCGACAGAAACACCGCGCCTCGCGTTTGTCCAACACAGCCCGTTCCTGAGATACTCGGGGACATCCTGGAATCCGTGGCAAAAAAACACGGCGGTCCAACTGTGCGGAAACGAAGCATGGGCTCAGGGACCGCCTGTAACCTGAGGGATGGGCCCGGCCTAGGGGGCACCGGCGAGGGCAGGTGTCTGGCGCCTGCGGGGCCACAGCCCAAAGGGGGCGGAGGCGCTCCCACCGCCTGGGGCCCAGGCTCCTCCTCCCCAGGCTCCGCCCGCGCCGCCCTCCGCCCGCCCAGCCCGCAGGGGCGCTCCTCACGCCGGAGCCCAGTCAGCCACAGCCAGGAGCGCCGCCGGGTCCACCTGCTGGGCACTCGGCGGGGCTGAGAGGTTCCTGAAAACGGTAGTGGCTGTCCCCAGTGGCCTTATTTCCCAAAAAACGAGCAAATCCGGCCAACAGCCCCAGTCCATACCGGCGGCGCCCCCGAGGCCCGGTCCTCAGCTGACCCAGGGCCCGCTCCCCTCGCCGCACCCACGCCAACAGGCGGCCCCGCCACCCAGTCCTAGGCGTGCCCGCCGCTCCTCTGGGCCGCTCCCTCTCTCTCTCACCCCAGCCCTCGGCCCCCAGAGGCCCCGGCGTCCCTCCTGGTCTGCGGCACTGAGTGTCTGGGCAGAGGCTGCTGCGCTAGGTGGCACTCGCTGCGGCTTCCCTGAACGCGAGGACTATCTTACCTATCTAATCAATGGATTGATCCATCTATCTCTATCTAATCTATTTCCATCCATCCATTCAGCCATCTAATCTATCTATATCCATTTGTCTCTACCTATCCAACCTATCCATTCATCAAACAATCAAGGCTGTCTAGCTATCTAAACATCTGTATCTGTCCATCCATGGAATCCATCTATTGAGATGAGGGTCTCGCTATGCTGCCCAAGCTGATCTTGGACTCCTGGGCTTAAGTGATCCTGCCTCAGCCCGCTAAAGTGCTGAAATTACAGGCCAGCGCCACCATGCCCAGTTAAGGGCTCTCTTCCCACAGCACCCATAACTAAGAATTGTTGCTGTTGACATCTCATCAGACTTGTCTCATCTTTTCCTCTATATGTGTATTTTTAAAAACTACATATATAATCCATGTATACATTCTCCCTTGTACCACACACAACCAAAGCCATTCTAGGGCCCCAAATCCACCCGTATCCTGGTGCTGCCCCTCTGCACCCTGGAGTTCACTGCACATGTTCTTCTGGGACTGTGTATTTTTAATAATGAATTTCCCAGACCTGCATGCGTGACACACGTTTAATCTAAGTAACTAAATTCTTTCTTAGGGCCTGTGAACCCAGACGTCCCTCTTCTTCATTCCCTCTCTCTCATTGGCCTTATCCAGCCTGTCAGCAGGCCTTCTGAGCATCCCACAGAGAGTTCCTGAGGCCAGGAAAGGGGTGCAGAGGGTAACTCAGGGCATGGCTGCAGCCCTGGGGTCTCCTCCCAGCCACGCCACCTTCCCCAGCCTTGCTGCCCAGGCCAAGCCAGCCCTGGACCTTTCCCAGGCCAGCGCACTAGTGTGGGTCCCATCTGCTCCTGTCACTCAAAACAAGGGCACAACTGTTATCTATTCATTTTCCTCACTGCGGTGGAAAAAGGTGTCCTGCCCTGAGGTTCTCAAAGCCCGAGAACCAAGCCTGGAGCAGGAGGAGGTTGTCCTCAGTAGAAGAGTTCAGGCCATTCCTGCCTTGGGACATCTGCCAGATGGGATGGTCTGGAGATGGGAACTTTTCCTGTCTGGCTTTTTTGCAGGAATAATGCAACAGCAAAATTAAAAATCCAAAATGGGAGAAAATGCATCTACAGTCCCATCATCCTAATACTTGAACAGATTTCTTTTTTAAAGTGTTTTTCTAATGCTTGTTCATTTGCATACATTAAATTTATACAGTTGTAACCATAATGTGACCAGAGTTTTGTATTCTCTTCTTCACAGTGTATAACATAAGCACTTTCCTCTACCACCACCAGTTTTTCCAGCTTTGAGGTATAATTAACAAATAAAAATTATTGCTACATAATAATTTATTTAACTGTTTACTGACAATTGTACCCTACCCCAATTTATTTACTTTTATAGGAACATTTTTTCCTACGTGGTACATAGGGACATTATAACTTTGAGACGCTGTGGTGGAACAGCTTGAGGCCAACAGCCGAGAGGGCTGGCACTTCAGCTCTGTGCCCCAGGCTGCTGCGCAGAAAACCCAGACGGGAAGACTGACTGGAGTTCTAGAAAGGCTGAATCCCAACCACCCCATACCTTTAGCTGATGCTCACTCCACAGCCTCCTCTGGTCATTCCGCCAAGGATGTCACACGCTGTAGGCAAGGTCACCGTCCTTATCCTTCAAACCTCCTGCACTGCTGGTGAAGCCTGCTGGCTCCTGCTCCATCTCTGACTATGTCAAACAAGGATTTGACTCTGTGACTGGTGCCCTCCAAGGGACTTGTGCCAATTGAGAGACTGCAGACAGCTGAGTACAAAGATGTGTCCCCCTTGTCTAGGGTGGGGGGTCTCTTCAATCCACATGCTAGGGGGAACATTTTCAGGGAGAAGGGGGCTCACTAAACAGCTGGCTTCTGCTCAGATGGCAGCATTCCTGCATCCTCATTATAGGACCAATTTTAATCTCAGCAATGAAGGCACTGATGTTCTCGGCTAATGCTTGCATTGTATGATTCAAGATAAGCTGTGAAATAAGATAATACTTAAAGTAGTTCACAGAATTTTGAGTAATAGGAACAAAACTTTGTTAATAATTTCACACGGGCTGAAATGCATTCCCTGTCTTGTAAGCTGTTTCCTGGTAAGAACAACCAAAAGGGAGGCGGCATTCACCCCGCTGTTCATTCATGATTTCACTATACATGTACTGAATACTTCCTTGCAGTCCTCTTCCATTGCAACATGTGAGTGGATGTGCGCATGGCCAACAGATACTGGTGCTGCACATCCCCAAGGGGTGGGGGCAGGGGCTCTGTACAGCTCCCAGGGCTCAAGCAGTCTCTCCAAATGCTTTGCTCCACTCAAGAAAGCATCCTGGAATGCCCGTGGGTTAGAGGAACATTACTCTAGGGAATCACTTTGAATGAATTCTAGTTTACTTTTTAAGGCACGTTACTCTGAAATCACTCATGTTTGACCATTGTAAGGACCAGGTCTTTGAGACCTACACGCACCTGAGCAGGAGATATCAGGGGGTGTTACACCTGCTCCAGGATGCTTACAAGAGGGCATCTGCTTTGGGGGACACAGAGGTCTGGCAGTGGCCCTCAGAGGCCTCCCGTATGTGCAGTGCCTTGCATGCGTGTTTTTATTCTCTTACTTTCTCCCTGGAACAAAGGCACCAACAAAAAAGGTAATATGGAATACCTGATGACAGTTTAATATTACACAGGTGGAGGCTACTACTTTCAGCACAGGTATAAATCTGTAAGGTAAGAAGTCTTTGAGGAAGGTAGCCACTGCATAGGCTAGAATTCTAGCCATGTTTTTCATTTTTAAATTTAAAACAATTTATTATTTTTTTAAGAGACAAAGTCTATGTTGCCCAGGCTGGAGAGCAGTGCATTTTCATAAATGTGCTCATAGCTTTGAACTCCTGGTCTCAAACCAACCTCCCACCTCAGCCTCCCAGAATGCTGGCACTACAGGTGTGTGCCACCGAGTTCAGCTTCTGCCACTTTCCAAACTGTGACCTGAGGCAGCTCACTTAGTTTCTCCCACCCTCAGTTTCCTTATTTGTAAAATGAGGTGGTCATGAGGCTCAAATACCATCTATGAGAATTCCATAGCACAGTGCCTTAAATAAGCTTCAGGAAATGGTAGCTCTTCTCATCGCAGGTAATGGTTACCTGCTGTTGTTATGCACAGTTACCGGGGGATAATTTTCCATTATCTCTTTTAAGATATCCCTTTAAAGACAATGAGTTCATTGACATTTCCTTTTTATTTTTTTAAAGAGTATTACAAAGGTGGCACTTTGAATGGAAAGGCTGGGGAATGAGGGCGGCTTAAGCCCTCATTTTTGTCAATTCCAGATTTCTTCAGGAGCTTTCTCCTAAGGCTGAGTACTGCATGAGCCAAGAGACTCCTCATGGGCAAGTTCTTCTCTGACTCTGGCTACTTAGTTTCAGTAGAACCCCAGGTGCTACATGACCAAAGGCC